ATCGTATTCAAAATAAAGAAAAATATTAAGTAGGTTAGCAGTAATTGCAACAGTAAAACAGGTACAACAAGACAACTTTCAAAAATCCTGTAAAAACAATTTCGACCTTAATCTTCTTTTGCCCTTGGATTGCTAGTGGCGTATCTTTAACAATGTTATTGTAAAGTCTAATGTTTGAATTCCTAAAAACCGGTAATTTGATATTTACAGGACAAGGAATCTCGATCAATTTAAACATAAAGTACGTAAGGAAATATTTAAAGAATGTTGGAACATGTAAATCTTAGTCGCCCTAGTTGCGGTTTACGTATTTTTGTAATACTAGTTTAGTTTACGCAAGCAGAAGTTAAATTATCGACCGCTTAGCGTTCAGTGTTGCTAACAATTTGTAGTACAAACGGTTTCTAAGTGCCCTCAATGGCGCGGCCTCTTTTCGCTAAAAATCGTTTTAGCACTAAAAACGTCGTGGTTGACAGACGATGAGATCACTGCTGTATTATCTCGGGGTACCACGTTTCTTTAATAAAACCGACTAAATTAAATAGGCCTTTCGCTTAATGGTAATTAATACATTTAAATGACAACCGTTGTTTGATTCATAACATGGAGATGAAGTTACGTATCTTCCCAACAAATATTATCAGACGTATCTCGAGCCATGGTAAAGTTTGCATGATATTGTTTGCAGTTGAAATGGAGCCGCACTGCTATCAATGGTAGATTGCGATTGCAATTTCAATGTTAGCTTTAGACTAACAATAGCCGAGACTACATATTAATGTAAGAAATATATAAGGTTTTTATTTTATACGTATCAATAAAACTTTCAATCACTCATGGTTTCTTATAAAAAAATAATACTGATCCAGACAAAAAATAATATTAGATAATTTCAATTTATCTAAACTCACTTTTAATTTATTTATACAGTAGGTTAATTTGAGTGATTTTTTTTACGTAACCTTGAGTTTTAATTGCTGAAACTCGTGTGCAGAAACATGTTGCTATCCCGCTCATCTTTTTGAATAAAAATGAGATAAGTATGTTTCTGTGCAGATGTTTGGGATGTTTAAACCCTAGTCATTACGGTTTTGTTTTCCCTCAAAATTCGCCTTTCAATTAGGAATTAACGAATTTCCATACAAGCAATTTTAAAGTTAGGAAGTTTAAAACATATTGTTAACTCAGTTTTGTCAAAGATAGTGACAGGGTTGATAATATGGTTTACAATGAGATTTTAGCTTCAGAAACCAACGGTAAGCCCTTGATAGCACTTGCCATTAACAAGTTAACCGTGTTCCGGTGTGAAGCGCGGAATTGCCAATGTAATTACCGACCGGGAAGAGCGTCCATCCTACAGTGTTTAGGGTTGTCAACACAGTTTATGACGCATTTATACAAAAAAGTAAATTGTCCAATAGTCTTATTGAATGTTTGTCGTCTTTAACAATTAATAATATATAGGATGATGACAATGCAAATAACACTATGTTATAATTATTTGATTCGAATAACGACAACAGAAACAGAAAAACTATCGTGGGTTTTTGAAAAATTTGCTGAATATTTGCACAACGACGAAAATGCTTTCATACTATGTTCCTTTTGTTATTGAGGATTAATTGTGTATTTATCATAATGAAGAAATTCTGCGAAAACATTAAATGTTTCAAAGCTTCAATACTGTGAAAAAGCAAGCAATTAAAAATGTTTACGAACTGATTATTTTTAATAAGATTAATTAATCCCTTGTTCAACTGAAATTCAAATTTGTGAAAAAACTTAATCGTGAAAACATCTATAGGAATTGTGCTTAAAATTAATCAATATTCTTTAAAAAAAACGTTACTGAAAAGAGTATAACACGGTTCATATCATCGTCTGAAGAGATAACGCATTAAAATTCTATCATTGCCCTTTGTTTACGTCTATTAGAATATCGCTCATGTTTACATAAATTAACGTCCGTCAAACTGAATTTATATTCATGGCAGCTGCAATGGAAAATATGAAATTACAATTTTCACATTAGATAAGTTGTTTATGAAACACGGTACTTCTAACTAGGTACACAAATAATTTATGTATAAAATAAATAATAATTGGAATATAACCGTTCATTTTCACTGACGAAATACTTTTTATAATCACAGAGACAATGTGTAGGCGTCAACAAAAATACTATCCGAGTGTCCCCGTGAAATTTATTTTAGACTAGCTCCCCGCAAAATTAAAAAAAAACTTAATTGATAGCCTATGTGTTATTCCAGACTACATTCTATACAAAAACATTAGAGAGATCCATACTGCTCTGTTGTTCTGGAGATACCTTCTAAGAAACATCCATCCATCCATACATTTGCATTTATAATATTAGTAAGATTAAATTATTCTGTTTAAAAATTTTACGCTGTTAGAGAAAAATATTTAATAAAAGGTATATTTTATCAAAATAATATACTTATTCCAGTAAAATCTTATTCTGTGCTAGATATCGTGACTTTAATATTTGATACAAGGTGTAAAATATTTTAGTAGGACAAGAACGTAAGACGTCACCTTGTGGTATAATGCTTTCATTACAAAGGTAAATGTAATCATATTATAGCACTATGATAATATTTACCTGCAAGACTTATGCAGCATCTAACAAGAGTGATGTTTGATGCGCAAGTACCTGTCGTATGAATTAATCAACATATATGTACAATAACAATGAGTTTTTCTGTTGAGCGTGGAAAAATACGAGAAAACTTGCGAAAGGCAGTTGTGAAAGTGAGCCATGCACGACGGAAACGTCAACTATGTAGGGTGACCATGTATGACGAGATGAACTATGCGAAACTATGGTACCAAGATACTGATCTAGGTCGGAAAGATCTGACCAAGCAACTATTTATACGTATTCTTGGAATTAAGGTGAAGTTAGTTAAATAAAAATAAAACATCCAAAACTAACGATCGAACACAATAATGCAAGACTTAACTTCCAAAAAATTTTATAATGCGGGTAATTTTTTTTTTCAAACGAACGCGAGATTTCACTGTGATTTTTTTAAAATTTGCCATCCTAAATACTTATTCTGTTAAACGACATATTTGAAAAATAGTTACGCTATTTTTGAATGGCGCTCCAATCGAAAAACGTCATTCGCCCAAAACGTTCGCTGCATTTTTCAAATATTCAGCTTTCGGGTTTTGCTTACCGCAGTTGGTGTATTAATCTGCACGGTTCGTTTGATTTAAAAATATCCTTAATTGGCTAACGTGTGAAAACACTATGTTAACAATTTTTATTAAACACAAATAAGTTGTAAAGGTTTAAATTTAATTATTGAACCCAACTTTTTATTAATATGGAGAAAATCAGCAAAAACGATCGCAATTTACGTTAAAAGTTTTTGTTAAGACGTGACAAAAACATTTCTTAGTTACTCTGCTATTTCTACTACATATGTACTTCTTAATTCGGAATCTAGTAATATCTAGTAATATGAACCAATTCTAGTAATATTAACATACGTACATCTCATTTTTTAAAGTTAAAAAAACCTTGTATGCCTAAATGTTTGATTTAACAAACCTCACGAATCCTTACAACAAAATATACCGACAACCAAATCAAACTTTGAAATCTCAAGAGGCGTAATAAATAATAACTTTCATCTTTGGAACTTCATACGAATTATTGATAAAATGCCCTAAACATACGATTATAGACCTTCTGTTGATGTAATAAAGGCTATTTAAGTTAACATAATAAACGTCTCTAACTTTTTTAACTATAGCATGTACCGTTACTGAGGTTTAGAGAGGCGTGCCCTGTACCTTTGTGTAACTTATAACCTTGAAGCAGGTCATTGAACTTATACAGAAACGAGAGTGTAGTAAGTCGAGCTTTATGTTCTATTTCATGTAACAACTTATTATCTATAGAAACACTAGTATAATAGTATAGTTCAATAATCGATTATTCTTCTTTTTTAAGTAAATGGTTACGTAAATCGAATTGGACAGTAATGTTTCATAGAAAATGTATTTATAAAACTAGTGAAAAGGATTATCGCATATCATATTTCTGTATAGCAGAGTAAAATTTAATCTCACGATGTCACGTATAGTCGCATAACTCTATTCACTTGCAAAGATACGGGATCTACATTTGTTAACAGACTTTGCAATAAGGTAGAGTACACGTTACTACAGAAGATACCTTTACGAATAGAATTTACAAATCCTATTCCAATTCACATGTACTTTAAAATAACAAAAAAATATATAGTAAGATAATATGAACTAAGATGAAGAACTTAAATTATACAAGAAGAATATTTTCTGAAGTCTTAAAACAATAAATAAAAAATTATGTGAACTAAGGTGTTTAAAAATGTATTCAATTAACGATTCAAATTTAGTAAAGAATATTATATGAGAAGTGTGAAGTGGTATTAGGAGTTTAATGAAATAATAACTCCATATAATTATAACGAAGGAATGGTTTATTACTTTGCTTTGCGTAAGTCTTGGTTGTGATTTTTTTTAATATTCTAATATGTTTGTATAATTATAATTTTTCTCAGTTAAATTGATATAAAGCATCGCGAATATTTTAAGCGATTGTTGTCTTTTAAATTAAATTTATTCTGCGCTTTTTTATCGTGTATTTTTTTTAATATTCTTATGCAGTGCGGTAATAAAATTATTAATTTTTTCAGCGAATGAGTATATTATCGGCATTGCTAAAAATTCGACCAAATCGAAGAATATTATTGAATCTTTTAAAGATATGCGAAATAACTAACTACCTATTGTACCTACTTATTTGTTACTCGTTGTAGTCCCGGTGCGACCGGACTTTTTGTACAATAGTTACATTTAAACTGCGGTTTAGCAAAGCAAATTTGAGCAAATTCACCTAAGTGCTGGCGAGAGAAATTTATAGGATATTAAATACGCTAGCGTCATCTAAGAGTAACATGAAATTTTCAAATAACTTTCAGACATGCTACGAAATGGAGCGGTACCTCCGAGAGGAGCCCCGGGGGAAGCGACGGGAGCCGGCCCAGGAGGAGGCGTGGGCGAGGTCGGAGACCGCCTCCCCCCCATCGCCGCAATCATCACCCGCCCAGAGGGTGTTCACCGTCACCGTGGTGAAGGCTGAACCTCAGAGCGATTCCGACGAACCTAGAGGTTAGAAAACTTATTAATTTTCCACCCGATGATTTTGATAATCAGATAATGTCGTACAGAATTAAAAGTATTTCTTCGTTAGTCAGTGTATTTTAGGTATCACTATCTATCAGCTATCGCCGGAGACTCCGTCCCCGCGGGATAAGAAATAGATTATAGCCAATACTCAGACCGACTGAATATGTACATAAAATTTTGTAAAAATTGGTTGTACCTTTCCGGAGGAGTATAGTAACTAACATTGGGACATGAGAATTTCATATTCAAATGGTATCAATAGAATGGTTTAATTAGGCTTATTCTCGGTGCCGAATAAAGGATCTGGTAATACAACAACTTTACAAAGTATTTCATGTATATGGATTTCGTGTTATGAAGTTCCAACACGTTCATTCAATGATTCCGAGATATCCGTTTATTATACTAAATAGTCAATTGTCCCGTATGACATGACTTCCGCCAAGTGCACACATTATTATCGGTAATATCCCTTTTTGTTGTGACAAACGCATGCCGATGCAAATATTTATGTGACATGGCATCTGTAGCCTTTGTGACAATGTTTATTATCTCTTTGTAAAATGTCATCACTACTTTCCACTTGCATCGAAGCTTACGCGAGACGTCTGTCGTATCAGTGAACATGTTACAATCGATATTACATACAGACGGTCGACCTTTTGCAGTTCTCTTATATTGACTACGTTTCAGATTTTTCTGATATCGCAAAAAACACTGATAACAAAAATTATATCAAAAAAATGCTTTCCTGGCTCAGAAGATAGTCGATACTTTGATCTCAAACGAGAAAATACTTTGTAATAAGCGAGGATGATTAACCGCAAATTTCAACACATACAAGACGACAAGTATGGAGAGGGTGAAGATGGAAAGGCAAAGATAAACGTTAGAAAAACTATTTCGTATGTTATGCCTAAACTATAATATATTTGATAATATGAATAAATAATAATATCGGATACTGTTCATTTTCCCCTCACAACCCAACAAACGAGGTCGTTGGTGGGTCACGATGTCCGCGCAATTAAATATCTTATGCGGGTCCTGACAAAGTTATGATAACACAATGTTAATCCGCTCTGAAAACTCTCTAGAAATATATAAAAAATACAATCTGCAGTCCGCCACTCCATCCGCGAGGGATTAACAAATAGATAACAGTCGATTCTCAGACCTACTGAATATACATAAAGAAATTCTTCAAAATCGGATTATATATAAGATTTATGTATACATACAAATGTTACAAATACATAAGGAATTAGGAACTATCAGTCTTGAAAGTGAATCCGTTAAAAAGATAACATCAATATAACCTGGACAGTTTTTACCCATATTAAGTAGAGGTTTCTCTCAAATATTTGTTGGCATAATAGAAATCACCCTTAACTTAGGGTAGGCTCCGAGGCCCTCGGTGGGGACGTATAATGAGCTGATGATGATGATAATAGAAATGATTACATTTCTATATATATTATTCCAATAAGAATTGCCCGTCAATAATTTAATAAATCACCAAATCAATAGAACTCAGTCTAGACATAGTAATGATAAATAATAAGGTGCCCTTTGTGAAGCAAAATTAGGAACAATTTGGAAGCAATTTACTTGTTTGGAACATGTTATTTATTCAACGAGTAATTTTCTTTTGGTTTATAATTCGTCGGTACATAGAATAGGATACAAACGAACAGTTCACTTGTCAAAATTGGTTCGGTCATTCAGGGCACAAAAGGTTACATTGTAATGGATAAAGAAACTAACCGACATACGAAAAACGTCACAGGAAAGGCCGAAAATACTAACACAAAAGAATCTAACCAGACTTTACAAGTAAAATACACAAAAATATCTGGAATGTAAAGAAAACAGATCTCTTGCAATAGTTCACGTTTACTGTTTATTATAAAACAATAGTGTTAGCTATTCTTCAATTCATTAACAAATATTTTAATTTAAGTCAAGACTAAGACTAATTTGCAATTCACTCAATGTTCGTGAGTTCAAAGTAGCATAGATTTAAGTCGCTAATGTAACACATTTTAACGTTATAAAATTGTAGATATTCGTTTGCGTTTCGGTATTCACAAACAACACTTTTAACGTGGGATCATGTGTACGTATAAAATTTTAAAATGTTTATACAATGCCACCAGGTCAAACTTTTTAGGTTACTGGAGTAAAATGTAGATATTATACATTTAAATAATACTAATACATTTGACACTATTACGATATTAAAACCAATAGACGTTAAAATAAAACGACGCTTTCGTTCCCTGAATACTGAAACAGGAATTCTTTTCAAATACTTTAATAAAGTATACTGAAGTATATTGCATTCCATGTTGTGTAAAATGGGATGTTTTCTACGAGAGATGAATATTTGCTACAAAATGTATTATAAACTTACTAATAATTAAATTCCTACAAGTATTCAGATTAGTCTTCAAATATTTCGTTTATCTTTAATAAGATATACTATTAGACAAATTCTTCTTCCTTCCGTCGTCATGCAGTGGAATTCTGAATAATTCCACGATACTTCATGCAATTAGGAAAAATATACTTTAACTCCGCCAAGTATTTATCGCCTTCTTTTACAAATACGTCTGCATGTCTACTAATTTGTGTACTCTTACCATAACATTGTGGGTTTCAGAAGAGCCCGTGTGCCCTGCGCCGATCCGACGGCCGCCTGTAGCTCGCCAGGCCGCCACCCCCGCGCCCGCAACGGATCCGCGCCGTCGCGTCCATCGCTGCGAGTTCCCCGCCTGCGACAAAGTCTATACTAAAAGTTCGCATCTAAAGGCGCATAAGAGGACGCATACGGGTAAGTTTTCTAATTCATATAAAAGAAGAGTTTAACACATTGAGTACTAACACTCGTCTTACAACTCGCAAACATCTTACATGATCGTGGTGGCATGGAAAAGGTTAACTCATGCCCGTAGTTGTAGAGCTGGCTTCACTTATTCAGTATCCTCTTCTCACTTGTGGTGATTGGAGAATCATCCTAAATCCATAAAACAAGCAATAGTGTGAATAAAAACCTACACTATCACTGGTTTTGGATATAGTATGAATCTCAGTGGTTGATCTTCGCTCTTGATATATTTCGCTTCATTGCTACGTTACCAATATGCAAGGTGGATGAGCTATCAATAAAACTATATTCACAAATAATAAGGACATCATCGTTGTTTTTTTATATTAAATTATCCTTAGGTAATCTGTTAGAGAAAAGTAGGTCAAAATTACATTAACAGATTTCATCCTACAACATTGGTAAGCAAACACGCTATGCAACAGAGATGAAAGCTTTTAAAACAGGTCAACATCGTGAATACTCAATAAACAGAATTTTCCATTATTTATAATAGCGATGGTCATCGATTTTATTATTTATACTAAAATTTCCACACTTGTTTATATGATTTACTACAGATTTTAACTAAATGATTTTCTTCTCAATGTATATAATGGATTATTTATTCATCATCTATACATATTAATTGAATATTCGTACGTTTTTAATTAATTGCATATATGTAAAATAATAAACCTTATGTTGTTTAATTGCTTATCGGGAATGCAGTTCAATGTGTAACATCCCGCAACATGTTTACAATATTAATTTTAAATTTAGTTTATAATCAGTTATGATGTTATATTTATTTGTAATCTACTTATACGAGGGTCAATTGATATTTTAATTTTTGGAAATTATATTAAAACATATTTCATTGAAATATCAAGGCTAGCGAGGTATATGTTCATCAAATGTTAGTTTAAAATAATCCATTTTGTTCTCTGAACTCTCTTTGATCCGACATCAAATGAATTGCTATACATCGCGTGCTATGTTTGTGCTTCCTGTCCCATTGCGCTTCTACAATTAACAAAATCATTCAATTTTATTTTACTGCAACAATTACTGTAATAAATATCTGTAGTTGCGAACCAAAAAATAATACGGCATAGAAAATTACGTACAAGACATGATATAAAAACATGAAGACATGATAAGACAGCAGGATACAAGGATATTTTGGCACTTTTGTGATATTGACAAGGGTTGCCTACGTGCTTTCTATTCTAGTGACACTTCCGTATACGGGCGCGATAAGTTTGTTGGACCATATCTTTATATTTCATGCATTTTTCAAAATAATGAAATAATTCATATTGTTTTATCTAAATAAATAGTATATAATACTAAATTAAAGATATTATATAGCAAAAATATTATATTAATTGATATTTTAGTCCGAAACATTTGAACTATTTTCCGTGACACAGTTATTCTGTGGACTATGATATTCATATTTACACGCAAAGTTATGATGGAATGTAGACAATTTGTTTTTTTTTTAAAAAAACGTTATTCGCGTGCGGAAAATATATTCATGAAATATGTTTTCGCGGCAGTTGTCACTTTGCACCGAACGGTGGTACCACATTTATGACGTTAGCTACTGCGCTCTCATTTTATCTGGGAAATAAAACACCGCGCGGCATCCGAGTTAAAAATACCACGAAATAAAAATATGATAGTCGGTCATTACATACGAGAGGGGAGCATGAACCAGACGATACCACGTGTTAACACGCTACATTCGAACAGAGCGGTGTTCAGATTCAACATAAAGTATATTGAATCATTGGAATTAACAGTTTTGTATTGACAATTCTATTTCTCTAAAAAAAAAGCGTACTATTCGCAAACAAAATCTTTTATTTCACTTTATAAGAATTAAATTTATATTCCGTTTATCTGGTTCCAGGTGAGAAGCCGTACAAGTGTTCGTGGGAAGGTTGCGAGTGGCGCTTCGCCCGGTCCGACGAGCTGACCAGACATTACCGCAAGCACACTGGCGCGAAACCTTTCCGCTGCCGCCACTGCGAGCGATGTTTCTCCCGCTCCGATCATCTCGCGCTTCACGCCAAGCGCCACACGTAGTTAGCTATCCAACCTGCCACTCCCCAGGCGCGACGACATTAAGCCGAACCCAAAAGCGATCCCGACTTGTTTCTTTTAGCCTAAAACACCGGCGTGCGCCGTTTGTTTTCTCAGCATGATTACGTTTGTTGTGATTTATTTAAACTGATTGATTGATTGCTCGTTCGTTTAGGTTAACGCGGTTTGTTTAGCGCGCCCCTGGGGAGGATGTGTTCACAGAGCGTTGCAAGCCAAAGAATATCGCTACGATCCGTAGCCGAGTCAACACTCATTGCACCTAATGCTTTAAAGTTATTTTTAATTCCTTTTTTATTGATTTTTATCGTCGAAAAAGTTTAAAATCTTTGATGTTTTGGCCTCTATCGTTGCGGTACTTTGTTGCAATATGGAAACATTTTATATTTGCCGTTGTTTATTATGTAAAAGATTTTGTAAGCTTTGTGTACAGAGAGGTTTTGTTTTTTTTATGTGGCGCGGTCGCAAAGCGGCCGTGCGCCGAAAGTTGTGCCATCGTTATCTTAGCGGTCGACGTGCGGGGGGCATCGCGGTGCGGAGTAGCAACGCAAACCGCTCGCAAGTCGCATGCGCCGCGTGCCCTTCGTCAACTCGCATTTCACATCACGTGACATATTATTTATTGAAACGCGGGATGTTCGGCAGATATTCCCACCGACGCCCAGCACAACCTTAGTTTTAAGCTTAGTAGGATGTGCGTCGCGTTACCTGATGTTGTGTCGATGTTTCGAAACATTCATTGGCAGAATTTGCAATTTTATTAATTCATCTTTATCGACATTAACTTACCACATTCTACCATAAATTGTCATACCATCTCGGTCGCTGGCTGTTTCGAAATATTGACAATAACTTGTATCTTTATTTTGTACTGTGTTTATTTTTTAAGTTTTTGATGTAAGCGATGTATTTACGTTAAGCTTTCTTTTTACTCTTTCATTCCGATTTGTGAGCCCCGCGGTGTTCCTTACGGTTTTTGTTACATCTGTAAGGAAATGTTTGCTTATTTGTCGTCCACTGCGGGGCTTCATTTAGATTATAGCTGGTACGCCTCTGCACACGTAGTATTATTAGGAAACTTAATATATTTTTGTCTAAATAATAATATGTTTATATTCATAAAGTTGAATACGTAATGGTAATACATACATTTTGAATTTACATGAGTTATGTGTGTAGAGGCGTTGATAAACATAATTTTATTGACAAGTTGATTCTGAAACACAGTCGCTATTTTTTAGTCAAATTTCTTAAATGTAAGGTTCAGCTTTGTGGTAGATGTCGATGTTTATATTGATGTGATATTAAAGTCTTATAAAAAATCAACACAGACTATTAATACAAAAAGGATTTCGATCGATAAAATTTGACATCGAAATTACAGCACATCCTTACATTCATTTATTCCACAATAAAAAAATAACATAATAAAGGACATGAAATAGAATCAATAGAAATACTTTGCTTCACAACGACAAAGTGAAAGACTTTGTGGATACAGGGTGTTGTAATAATAGTGTTTTCAAAACGGGCTCAACATTATAGCAAAATTTTGACATAAACGAGTAACAATTTCCCATAATTCTTTTTGATGTGTTTTTTATTGATTCATAATCTAAGTACAACGACTGTTTTTACTGACTACTTAAATAAAATTGTAATAGGGCGAGATTTCTTTAGTGACTGGTATAAGATATTCCATTGATCGAATCTTCGTGCTATAGATAATTCTAGACAAGCCGGGGGCCAATACTATTGTCTTCCCGAATTTGACAAAATTTTAACATTAAACGTTCACGGGAGTTACGACGATATTTAAGTTTTGGAATTAATATGCCCTTAAAATGATCATTGAAATTTAAATATAATACGCATAGTAAATTCGTGTGCACTAAATTGCCAAATGCACTAATATTTTAGGTATAAAAAAATGAAAATAGAAAAGATTTTTAACGCCATTGTTTAGAATTTTTCGAATCTAAATATTTCAATTTATGAATTTTTATAACTATGTAAAATTTTGTGGATACGATTTAAATGAAATTAGTATTTATAAATATACATAAAATTAACCGAATGAAATATAAAATTATCATCTGGTTCCTAAATATAAGTACTGTTTAATTTCATATATGAAAAACTATAAACTATTTAATATGTATGAATTACTTTGAATTGATGGATGTTATTTCAAAATAGGACCTCGTGTCAATAATTTTTACTTTATGTACAGATAGGTACACAAAATTTGTAGAACATTTAATCAAGTTTAATTAAGTTGTGTTAATTTAATAAAATCGATGTTTATATATATTATTCTATCGTATCGCTTTTATTAGCTGTTTATTTAAAAAAAAACTTATTTTTTTCTAACAGTATTAATTACAACTTACAGGATGATGAAAAAGTTTTTGAGAAATAATCATTCGTACATGATTCTTCAAAATGTTTGTGAACACATTTAATGATATACAAAAAACGCTCTATTCAAAGAGAAATAAGATAATCATCCTTTTCTTTTGAATATAAATTAGCAACAGTTAAACTAATATATTGAAAAGATCAATGAAGAAATGAAGTTTTTGTAACAAAATATTTTTTTTAAAAACATTGAAATAAATACTTTTTTTTAAAAAAATTGGAAAATTAGACAATTTTATAAATTGAATATTTTCATTTATTCATGGATTGTATTTCTAATAGATTCTTGCTTGTGGATGTATTGGAAAATGTATGTGAATAATTTTAAGAAATATTTAAAATGTGATTCATAAGTTTATTCAAAATATATGTATGTAGTAACTTTAAATATAATAGTTAAAATATGGTATATTGAAAAAAATTGAAATGTTCGTGTATACATGTGCTTCAAGGTAATATATAGATGTGATTAGATATCAAATATATTATATATTCTTTTGCACTTGGGCTAACAATTGCATGTTAGTAGATGAGTAGCAAGAATATTATATTAAAATATTGGCGTTTATAAAATAATAAAAAGGACAATTATATTAATTATTTAATGTGCTAGCAAAATTTTGATATAAAAGTTGCGGCTGTGTGATAAAGAATCAACCTGTATATACTCGTAAGTATACGTATGAACCTACTGAACTGTAGAAGCACGCAGTTATTACCAAGTTTCTTTAAAAAATGCTTTAATTTCTACCATTAATATAGTTCTGTTATGAAAAAACATTTCAAGATTATTATTTTTATTATGAAAAATGTTACAATTTAATTATTTTAAAAATTATATTTATTTTATTATTCTATTTAATATTTTGACAGCAATTTCTATTAAGTTTAAATACTGTTGATTCTCTGTCCGATATTGCATATTGAAGATTCTATAAAAATTTGTATACAGATTTTTTAGTGACACTTTAGTAATTATAATGCTTTGTAAAATTAACTGGCTTTGTACTAATTAGTTGAGCTTTTTAAAACTGATATTCTAACATATTATTTAAACACAAAACTTATTTTATTTTATTTTTTTAAATCATAACAAGCACTGTCATATTTACTTAATATTTGTTATTCAAATGATCTGTGTGTTCGAATTAACTTTAGTAAAATCTGTATAATAGTATCATTTTATTTCTATACCTTTAAGGACAGTGTTGTTGTTTTTAGAGTTTATTATATAAATACACAAAAACACTCAAATTATATTAGTTAAAGAAAAATAAGCGGCCTCTTGCACCTTCATCGTATCATACAAAATCCAATTATTCACTCTATACCAGTGGTTCCCGAACTTATTTTGTCTACTGCCCAATTTGAGAATAAATATTTTTTTAGCGCCCCCATATTTTCATCTATTTAAAAACTACTATAACTTCAAATTAAATTAATCATTGTGACCTATATATGTAAATTAACGGAGAATTCTAAATGAAACTTTTACTATAACCCGCAACTTGACACCTACAGCGCCCACAAGGGGGCGTTATCGCCCAATTTGGGAACGACTGTTCTATACGATGCTAAGATCAATAAATTTGAAATCAATGTGTTAAAATGGCCATACAATACAAAGTAAAAATATATGTTTTTCTCTTACACAATAAATATATTTATAGGTATGTTCATTGTCTCAGACCTCAATTTATCACAAGAGTAGTTTAAGTTGCATTTTTTCAATTAATTAGCATGTGTAAAATAATTATATTTTTTAAATATATTTATATGTTTGTTTAGAATTGCTTGTAATTTAATTTTGAAGTATTATTTATTTTAATGTACATTTATTTGCAATTTAGACAGTGCAATACACATTAATATATGTTGGAAATGTTTTCTTAAATAATATATATATATTTTTTAGTAATTTGATTAGATATATTAATACATTCCATTGTGCTTCTATCTCGGTAGGTTGATGCATGAACAATTTTTATTGCTGTACTACAAACGGATGGTTGAACTAATATTGTTTATATTTGAATTGGACACATATTTTATTTAAATAATTACATCAGCCATCCGTACGTATGTAGTATCAATAGATTAGTAAAATATAATAGGGTACTTGACATTTTTTTTTAATTTTATGCCATTTAAGGTGCAAAATTTCTGAATTCTTAGTAATTTAAATATATACAAAACCCAATCAAATATCGCTCATTCATTAACACTAATATCTGTGATTAATTAATAACATTATTTGTAAAATATCCGCAATGTTATTTTTAAATGTATTTATCTCTCTTTGAAAAACCACCATCATTTTTTTAATAAATTTACAAATTAAAATATAACAATAAGTCGTATATTAAGTAAATATGTAATAGATTACAAATGTGAAGTCTCTTTTTGATTATTCTATAAATTCAATAAAATTAAGATATTTGTAATGTGGTCATGCACAAACAGAAAGGTTTCAGTCATTTACCCTATTGCATAATTAAATTTATGTAACTATTAGTCGTTTAAATGTATGTGTAATAAATATAAATGTATGTGTCTAAAATATTGCGATATTACATTTTTATTATATATCTCTTTTTGAAAATTATGGATTATATTAAAACTAATGAAACGTGAGATTGATTCTCGATTTTTAAATTAAAAAAAAAACAAAACCGTTTAAATAATGGTTCGAAGAACATTTGTCTGTTTGGTAATTGTAAAATTTTATTTTAGATTTATTTTGAATGTGAAATATTTATATTAAGATTCGTTAAAATTTTTAATTACAATTAAACCAGTAGCTTTGGAATTGATGTTTAACTATTATTATATAATAACTTCATGTATTCAATATTTTAATAACACACGTTTAATGTCTTGTAAACAAACATAAGAACAGAGGTCAATACCCTTTACTTACTTAAATGTATCTCATAGTAATTTAAAACGACGCCGGTTTTTCTTACCGTTGGTTTCTGAGACCAAAATCTCTGTATAAAACAATATGTTTCAAACGTAGATTTTTGTCTCAGAAGCCCACGGTTAGCCGTGCTATTGTACATACCTACATTTGTCTAATTTTACTAATATATTTACTATTAATAACATACACCTATGTTTTTATGTTCTTGTATTTAGTTTCTGATGTGTACTTGGTGAAATTGTATGAATTTAAGTATGACCCGTTGCGGCGAGTCGAGTTATGTAGCGTATTGCATTTTATATTAATAAATTTTTCTTATATGTGGTCTTGTATGTTTCTTTTAATGAGCATAAATGATAATTTCCTACTAAAACACCTGTAAAAGAAAATAGTCTAATGTCTTTGCTTCTCTTTGAAAAAAAAGCCAAAATAACAATTTGTTCTTTTTTTACAGGAACCGAAAAGATGAGGTGAAGTTATGAAAATACCAAAGAATAAGTATTTATATGACAATTGTGTTATATTTTCTTTATGCCATTTATCTTTTTAAAATTTAAAATCTTATGTGAAAAAATGGCTACACCAGTATAGAGCAGATTTTCTATCTATATATTATGTTTGACTTATATGCGTTGCGCTGGACAGATTGATATAAAGATACGAATTTCTTTTTTATAAAATACTTTAGCAAATGTGCAATATTGAAATCAAGTTGTGACCACTTGATTTCAGTATTTGTAAGAAGTGGCATTATATTTATGGGAAGATTGCTTCATGCAATAGATATCGCTGGCCACTATTAAAGCTGTGCTGTTAATAATGAAAAACTATGTGTATCTTTTAAGAATATATTTTGCTTGCGGCTTGCGTTGTAACATTTATAATATTTAACTAGAGCTAAAGAGAGATGGGGTAATCGCGGTGGGATCTGTCAAAAATATGTCAAATAACATAGGCATGACAGGATAGCTTCGGTTTACAGTACAACAGTGATCTTGTCACTTTTTTGACATTAATCAGACGCACTAAGGTAATTCATAACTTACTTTGACATGCCCACCGGGTCAGATGACTTAGTCGACCTATAACATTATTTCGACTTTTTACAATACATTGCGTATCGGGTTGATCTGCTCAATGAAGTGAAGTCGTCCAACACACAAATTCGCGCATCTGTAGAATGCACGCGCGAATTACATTGATTTGCGCCGCGGCTGAGAAAATCAATTCTTCTGACAAAGAGATTTCGCGGTTCGACAAAAATGTTTCTTTTTGCGTCCAAGCGAATTCATTTATTAATACAATAATTAAATATACATTTTTTATACGTTTAGAATATCGCTTATTATAAAAAAATCATTAATATTAAAATTATTTACTGCGCACATATAAAAAAATAACACTTTCACAAGATATTTTCACATCTACTATTCCAGCATGTTTAAAGATATATAATAAATAACATACTCACTCACATTTTGCTTAAGAATTCTTTAAAAACAGTATTTTCACTAAAACACCTTGTCTTATCACGACAGCGACACCTTGACGATTGGATTTTTCCCTTGACATATGTATTTTATTGCGCATGCTCTTTTCAGGAATCCAATGAAATGC